AATTATGGGTGAACTTATTTATTGTTTATTAAAAAAAATAGCAAACCCTGAAAAAAAATCTTACTTGTAAATTGCTGTTATCATTCCCCAAAGGTGTTTCTCCCCTGCAGGGGGGTGTCAGTCTGTTTCATCAGGATTGGGCACCAGAAGCAATGAGCACCATTTATATATTTATTTGAAAAGCCTCTGTTGGGTGGAAAGCTTGTTCCTTTAAGATTTCAGCCTTTTTTAAGCTCCCACTACTTTAAACAAAGGCCCCAGGAAGAGGCCATGGAATTTATGATAATACTTTTCAACTCTTTCTTTGCCTGTTTTCAAAAAACCGTCTTTTCTTTGACTTTGGATAATGCAGACAGCTCTATTGGAATATAAAAATTTAAACTTTAAACCCATGAACTCTGCTGGTCTGCAGAGGTGTTTTAATGTCAAACCCAGGAAATGTACACAGGCTGCAGAATTCACAACTCATCACTGTCACAGCCAGATTAGAGTGTGAGTTAGAGTCATACATTAACCAGGGCTAGGCGGGAGAGCTACAAAAGTAATCAATGTCTTGCACGCACAATGAAAAATAGAAGTAGAGCCGGAGTGTTGGGGGTCAGAAAATAAGCCCACACACACCAGTGCCCTGACATTTATTTAAAAAAAAATTTTTTTTTAGGATGTTCTGAAGTTTGAATTGTCATTTGCATGTTTCAATTCACGGGAAACATCTGGTTTCTCCCTGCAGTGTAGACAAACTGCTCTTATTCTGAACCTGTCATCCATGAAAAGCATGGTTTGGCCTCAATAGGTTTGCTTATGAAAGGCCTGGGGTCCCACTCTGCAGAAATAAACAGCGCCGGGAGCTGGAAGTTGTTCCCTGTTGTAAGTTCTGGCTCAGAGGACTTGGGTGAAGTGGCAGAGCTGAATGGGCTGCATTTATTTTCCAGAGGTGTTTCCTGATTGAGGAGGAGATTGTAAAAATCTTACACAACTTCTGTGAAGTTTGTGCAAATGCATGTAAAGGGCTCAGAGCCTGGAGGTCAGAGATAGGGGGTGGCAGGCTCTGAGGCAGAAGACCTGGAGGGCATGAAGGCCTTGGGGCTCAGCATAGGCCCCGCCTCCCGGGCTTTTCAGTCCAGAAGCCGAACTGGGTGTTTGACTGGATTCAAGACCCGCTGTGTGATGTGCAGGACCCAGTGCAGAATGGAAGCACGGGCCCTTGTTCCAAAGCTGTTAAGAACTTTAAGATGAGGGCCTCCCCGGTGGCGCAGCGGTTGAGCGCTGGGTTGCGAAGCTGCCCGCAGCCTCTGCAGCGCCGGTTCGATCCCCGGCTGCTCCCCGGCCACCAGAGGAGGGTCCCGCATGGCGCGCAGACCTCTCCTGCCGCCCGCTTCTCCCCTCAGCAGTGTACTTCGGTCCTTCTGCCTGCTCTGCTCCCCGCTCTGGCTCTGGTGAATTCTCTCACCCTCCCGCGCTTCTGACTGTACCCAGTGCTTGTATGTATAAATAAATAAATAAATCTTAAAAAAAAAGAAACAAAACTTTAAGATGAAAGCAGAGAGTGTTCACTCAAGGGTGGGGCCCCTTGTCCATGGGCTGCTCTGCTTCCACCTCAGGAGCCAGAGAGGAAACCAGGAGCTCTGGGGAAGTACATGCGGGGCCTGGGGAGCACGTCTCCTCGTGGGGGATGATGGCCTGGAGGAAGGCCAGGATGGTCCCATCGCTCTCTGTGCCGTTCATTCCTTCTCAGGCTTCTTTGTTGGTGCGGGGAGCTTGCCAGAGCGCAGTCTGTGTCTTGCTTTGTGTGTAAATGGTTGTAGACAACTCAGCACATGATCGTGGCAGGTGAGAAGCGGTGCGTTTTGAGAGCTTTTTCCTTCTGAGAGTTAATCTCAGCCACCAAGATGCTCCGCTCTCGGGCCCTCCCTTCCTCCTCCTCTTCTCCCACCCTAGCATTCCCGAGACAGGGATGTTTGATTCAGGTGACAACGGCCCGTCATGATACCTGGCTGGCGGGGAAACCTCAGCTAAGATTGGAGTCTAAATATAGGGTCTGCTTCCCCCCTTACTTCCTGCTGCCAGCTCTTCTCCTTTTCATTCGTCCAGCTTTGTTTGTCCCTCCTCATTTAGAGCACACACTCACACGCACACACATACCCCGGCATACTCTGAACATGTGTCCTGCCTGCAGACCCGAACTACCCTTTTTTTTTTTTTAAAGATTTATTTATCCATGCATACAAGAGCTGGGTGCAGGCCAGAGGCACAGGGGGTGAGAGGATTCACCAGAGACAGAGTGGGGACCAGAACAGGCAGACTGACAAAATACACTGCTGAGGGGAGCAGCGGGGAGACAGGAGAGGTCTGCTGCGCCCTGTGGGTCAGCAACCTGGCTGGGATCGAACTCAAACTGCAGTGGCTGCAGATAGCTTCATGGTGCTGAGACTTAACCTCTTGTGCCACCAGGGAGGCCCCTGAACTGCCCATTTTTGATTGCCAAAAAATTTAGGGCCAAACCTAGATCAATAGATTTGGAGGTTCTTCACCCCCTTAAATATGAAAATGCTAATGAGGGAGCCACCTACAGAACACAGGTAACCCGCCCCCCCCATGGGACTCCTGCTGTCCTGAGCTGGAGCAGGCCCTGCTGACGGTGCCCAAGTAGAGTAGGGTGCCTGCCTGAGGCGCAGCCTTCTAGGGCCAGAAACCGCTCTGCAAACACAGCAGATTAAGGGGTTTTGTTGAGGTAGACCAGATGGATGGAGAGGCAGGGTTCAAATGAACCCATCATAAATCAGGACTCAGTGGTAGCAGGGGTAAGTCTGGGTCTGGGCCTGACCCTTAGAAGTTTGAGCTCATTTAATTTATTTTTTTCTTCTCAGAAAAGTACCACATGCTTATTACTAAAAAAAAAAAAAAAATTCGATGCAAAGATCCCCAGATAGAATCTCTGCCAGCCCTTTCAGCTTAATCCTCCTGGTTTTGTCTTCTGTCCCACTAACATACACACAGGTACATATGTGGTTACTGTTTAAGGGGAGCGAAACATGCTTTTCACTTAGAGATTAAGAGAAAATGTAAAAATGGGCACCTGGGCTGGGTGGTCTGGGCCAGGCCACCATCATCCACTTCAGTAATAAAACCAAGGACGGTAAAGTTGTGTTTGGGAAAGTTGTGGCAAATTCAGGTGAAGGAGGAGTTCGCGGGCGAGAGGGCCTTGCTGCGTTTACATTCTTCCCGGGGTGCACGCCCTGGTGCAACAGTGGTTTCTGCCCAGTTCCCTGTCGCCCCCTAGTGGGACAGGAAGAGCTGCTCAGGCCAGGATAGAAGCCTGCACAGTGGACTTTTCACACAGCTCTTGCTCCACGTACCATGTGCTTATGTCCCCATAAGCCCGTTGTGAGTTGAAAATACCGTAAATCGAAAATGCATGGAATACACTAACTTACTGAGCATCCTATCTTAGCCTCCCCTGCCCTTCAGTGTGCTCAGAACCCTCACGTCCCAACAGTTGGGCGGACTCACCCTAACTCAAAGCCAGTTTTATATTAAAATGTTGAATATCTCATGCAATTTGAGGAACATTTCACTGAAGCTGAAAAGCAGTCTGTGCAGTACTGGCTGTTTACCCTCATGATTCATAACTGGTGGGACTGTGGCTCCCTGATAACGCCCAGGATGTGACAGCGCAGGGTTGCTGATCGTGAGCCCAGGACAAGGTTAAAGTTGAAAGTACGGTTTCTACTGAATGCAGTGGCTTTTGCACTGTCGTAAGTTGAGCCATCGTAAGTCGAGCCATCGTTAAGTCGAGACATTGTAAGTCAAGACATCATAAATTGGGGACAGTCGGTAGCTGACTCTCCATTGGTGTGTTTGTCATTCCCTTTGTAAATGTGTTGATATAATGAACACTTGGAGCTCATGGGTCTCCCTCTATCAGGACTCAGCCCTTTGAATTGAATAAACTCCGTGTTTTATGAAAACAAGGCACATTAAGTGCTCACGAGATCCTCAGTCTGGGAGGGTCTAGAATTTTGCAGAGCAACCTGCTGCATGCTTGGTAGAAATCATTAGGGTTTGTGTGCCTCTTTTAGTGCCAGGTCTACTTACTGTTTTCCTGACATTTAACTAAGTACAAAGATTAGTTAAAATCAAACCCTATGGAACCGGTGAGAGCTATTTCTATAGAAATAATTGGCCTCCTTTGAAAAATCTCAGTGGTGGTGAGTTACTAAAAAGACACATAATATTAAATTGTGTGAAAAGCATAAACTGTTGTGAAAAATTATAGAAATCTAGAGTAGTGCACTCAGATTATTTTGCTAGCATTTGCCAGTTATTTTAAAGCTAAAGACACTGGATGTCATCTTTTCTTCCATCCTCCTGAGTCCATGGGGTGTGGATGCTGGTGCCGACGGGTTCTACCTGTGAGAACACCCCCAACCTACATTCCTCACCGAAGCTGGGAGAGAATAACACCTTCTCTGGGGTCTTCACAGCGCCCAGCTGTGAAGCTCAGAATTAGTGTTTAATGGCAGCTGCTTTTGCTTAACCAGATAAACATCCTCGGAGTTCTATAGTTTGATCATGCCTCTATAAACAAAATTAAAATGACAAAATCTGTCACTTTGGGTTAGCATCTTTCTTTTGGGGGGTGGTGAAAAATAAGAGGGGACCTTCTACCCCTCATGATCTCATGATCAGTTTCTTCCCTATTTATGTCTTCTGTTTTGAGGTTGAGTGAATCTCTGAGTACTGACCTAGGACAGCTTCTAAGGCCCCATAGACAGAGGACTGTACTTGAGGGTGTGACTGCCAGTGTTCTGGGTGCGGGGGTGGGGGGCAGTCTCTGCAGCAGGTGCCCTCCTTAGAGAGGCAGCAGGGATGATGCTGTTGGGGGTGGGAAGCCTTTTGGGGTGTCCTGTTTGGCTGGGCAGGCCAGCAATGTTTGTGCCCTGGAGCCTCTCAATTGGAGTGAACTCAGACCTCCACACCTGGGGCCTGTTTCTTTGCAGGGACGGTGAAGGTGAAGAGTTCCAGCATCCAAGTCGGAGATCTAATCATTGTTGAAAAGGTGAGCGGGGCATCCATTTTTCCAGGGCGTGAACAGGACATGGGGGCCACACACTTTGTGACTAGCTCCTTGGCAGTCTATCCACTTTGCCCTGGAGACAGTCTCTTTCCCGTGAGACACACACAGTCTTTGTTCAAGGTTTACGTGTGCTGGGTGGCCAGAAAGCCTGCGTCTAGGCAGAGGTCCCAGTTCTGATGTCCTATTTGATGGGTGTGTTTTTGGTTTTATTTTTTTTCAGCTTCTCATAAAGTCCTTCCCAGAAGTCAGCTTACTACTTAAGCACTTAAAAATATTTATGTCATTTACCTTTTGAGCAATTTCAGCTTGCATCTTTTGACTTAACCGTTACACTTCCCTATCATTTTATAGGGTGCAAGGGTTAAGTGTAACTTGAGAACAGTAAGAAGGCCAAGAACACATTAAAGAAAAAACACTGTTAATATGTTTGTTACCTCGGCAGCACTCATCTCTCTGTTTATTGTGTACTCTTGGGAAGGTTTGGGTTCGGGGGTGGCCTCGAGAGTCTGGGAATACGACCGGATTAGAACAGGATTGTGTCTTAACTTGTTTCTTCTGTAGGAAGTGAACTGTGCTCTTTTAAAAGGATTAAATCCAAGAACTCAAAGTCGATTTGAGGCAAAATGAAGCTCTTCTGGGTGGCAGCTCAGAACCACACAAACCCCTTTATGTTAGTTATTGCCGAGTTCTCTGTTCATAATTAAACCCGGGCGGCCCTGGCTCCTCTTTCTTTTTGAGAATGGCTTTTGTTGCCTCCTGCTACTTGACTTCCTTATTCAAATCCCACTGGAAGCCAAACATCAAACTGGAAAATTGGTAGAAGCAGAAGCCTGAGCTGTCTGTGTCAGTCTTCGGTTTCAGCAGGCTGCCTGCGAGACAGGCAGCCCGGCAGTGGCTTGGGCCCTGGGTCCTGGGCTGGAATTTCAGGAGGCAATGGTTGAACTTGCAAGGAAAAAAGCGGGAGGGGGAAGGAGCCTCTTTCCCAGATAAGATTTCAACAAGGAATTAGTAAAGGAACAGCAGAGCGCAGGGTTTGTCAGATTCACAACAGAATCAGTTGCCGAGTCTGTCTTGAACCAAGGCAGACTCTTGAAGGAGGCTGTGGGTTTCGGGGGGGTCCCCCCCAGGGGCCAGTGGGGGGCGGAAGTCCCGCACACGGTCATGCACGCTAACAGTCTTCTTCTTCATAACCCAGAACCAGCGGGTCCCTGCTGACATGATCTTCCTGAGGACGTCAGAAAAAAACGGTAAACATCTGGGATCAATTTTGAAAATAGCCATTAACCTTTCAGTGGTAATTTGGCAAAATAATCATTTGAAAATGTAACAGAAGTAGATGATCATTTTGGAGCCATGAGGCGAACAAAAACATCTTTTTGGGTCGAGCAGTCTTGTAAAAAATATGTTGTTGGTGCTCACCAACAACATAGGTAAGTGGTTTAGATTGTTGCAGAGACAGTGCAGAGTCACAGCTGGGGGAGCACACCAGTGGAGCTGTGGTTTTTCCTCTTGGGGCTGCATTTAGCTTAACCTGAGGAACCCAGGCTGTCCGGTTCCCCAGAAGGTGCCTGTGACCCCTGCCCAGAGTGGACTCCCCGTGCCAGCCCTCGTGCTGGGTCTGCTCATCCCTCTGACTCCTTCCAGCGAGTTCCTGAGGTCTGCGTTTCTCCCCATTTTACAGACGGGAACACTGAGGCTTAGCAAGAGTGAGTGAGTGAGCGAGGATTTGAATCCAGAGCTTTCTGATCCCAGAGCAGATGGAGAAAGTGGGAAATCACCGGGTATTTATCTTCCCTTTTGCTCACTGGCCAGTGAAGGGCTGTTTTTTAGGAGGATGAGGGCAGGAACTGCACACAGCAGCCTGGGGCATCCTGCATTGCCGGCGTGTGGACAGCACATGCCCACCTTCCTCCCTAGGGTCCTGCTTCCTGCGGACGGATCAGCTGGACGGGGAGACAGACTGGAAGCTGCGACTCCCTGTGGCCTGCACGCAGAGGCTCCCCACTGCCTCTGTGAGTAGCTGTCCCTGCAGAAGCTCAGCGGGCTCAGAGCAGGACTCTCAAACTTAGATGCTCAGGGGCCAGACGTGGGGTGGCAGGTTGAAGTGGGGTGGGGCGGGGTGAGGGGGTTAGTATGGGGGCTTGGAGAGACTGAGCGCTTGTTGTTCCAAGTAATGTGGCCAGGGTGGGGGACATTCTCAGAACCCTAAGAAACCACAGCCAGGTGTTACTGAACAATGGAGTCTCTATCCCACATGCACAGATGAGGTAGGACAGCAGGTCTGTGAGGAATCAGCTGTTTGCGAATTGAGTGGCAAGGAGGCAGGACATAAATCCAAATCTGCTGCCCTGATTCACAAAGGAAATGAGGGTACAGAGTTTTTGGGACCAAGGTTGAGAATAAAGGAGTTAAATGCTATGAGCTGAAAAGCAGGTTAGGGGCAAAGGAACATGGACTTGGCCAAAGCTCATGGGCTGGTCCCAGGATACTCTATACGTGAGGTGACCTTCAGATCGCTGCAGTTTTGAACTCTTGGTGGCCTTGCCTCTGGGAAGCCCCATCCTCTGTGTTCTCAGTCTCCTGCCAGCCTTGTTGCTCAGCTCAAGGCTGTTTGCCTCTTCTGCTCAGGCTGTGTCCATAACTTGTGTCTGTAAATTCAGGCCACAAAGAGAAAGCTACATCATTGTTTCCCAGTTGCACCATTTTGCCTCGGTTGCAGGGGTGCCTTGCAGAAAAATTAATGTGAAGCTGGAGCTCAGCACCCCTGCCAAAGCCTCCAAAGCTTTCTCTTCTCGCTGAGAGCCAGCTGGGCCTGGCTGTCACCTTCAAGCCCCATGACATCTGTCTCTCTGCCTGGGCCCCGACATCTGTGCCTGATCCTCTCCCCCTGCCCACCGCCTCTCTGCCATTTGCCCTGGCCTTGCCCTCCGCGGGAATAGTGGTAACTGGCATCTGCCCTGCTGGGCCTCGCCAGCGCGCACTCTGAGATGCTCAGGTCTCCTTGTTGGGAGGTGTTTCAGGCTGCCCCCTCCTGGCTTTCATACCCCACTGGCTCCGAGGTGGTGTCTTCCACAGCCTGTGCTCCCTGCTGTGTGTCCAGGGTGTGAAACTGCACCACAAGGGCCCTGGGGAACGGGGTGGCCAGGAAGCTGGAAGCAGCAGGGGCTCCACAGCCCCACCCAGCCTTGCCCACCGCCCCACCTCACTCACATCACAGTTTGTGCAGTGAGACGGAGGAGCCAGAGTCAGTTTAAACAGAAGCCACTAGGTTGCAGCGTGCCCACAGCCACCCATGGCCCGAAGGCTGACGCCTGCTGGTGCTC